GCAGTTGATATATAGTATTGTATAAATTACAATCAAATTTTTCTAAATATAACTCATAAGAACTAGATATTTAATAGTCTGCATTTAAGTAACAATAAGAAAATTACATTTATAAAAATATAATACATACTTGGGCTAGAGTTAAAACTAATATTTAGCATTTTAAAGTTGTATTTAGAAAAATCAGATTGTATATTAGGCTAATACACTTATGAAGATAAAATATATATAAAATATATTTATAAGGGATGTAATTATAGAAGATTGACTATAATTTAATAATACTAGCTCAATAGCGACTATATCGATATTTTTTTTTTATAATTCGGCTGCCTGCCGCTATTTATTTATGACCAAAACTATTCGACAAATTACAAGAATTTCTCTCTTAGTTATAAGATCTTTATACAAATAGCTTACCAAGTTTATGCTCAATATGGCCTACCTCAGTAGTCATTAGCCTCAATCCAGGTCCAAAACTACCTAAGAACTTTTTTTTCTTCAATTCTTAGCTAGCAACTACAAGCTATAAGTATCATTATTGGCTTTTCTTATTAGTATAGAAACACAAACATTAAATCAAAAGAAGTAAAAACAGGAAATAAACTTAACAACAAACCCAATCCATCTAAAACAAATAAAACTAAACAAATCAAAGAAACAAAAACAAAAGAAAAGAAAAGAAACAAAGATAGCACTATTAAGCTCGTGCCAGACTAAAAACATTATATAGTATTACTAAATAAACTAATTTCACCTCTATATTAGTTATTTATGTCTATATCTAGAATATAAGACTTAATCAAAACATTTGTTCTTGAGTAAAGGTCTAAGTTCAAAATTTCCAATCGCATAGCTCCATAAAACTTTTGCAACATATTCACGACTTTCTATTTTAAGCTTTAATCATATATTATTTATCCCAAAGCAGACACGTACTCCTGTACGTGATTTTTCTTTTTTGGCAATGATCTTTAAATTAATCCTTTAACAGAGGTATACCATTTTTCCCACTTTTTGATGAAATTTCATGAAGTGCAAAGAGTGGTGTGTTGTAGAGGGTTTTGGTTAGCAGGTAGCCTTAAACTTTGATAGGGAGTGTGTTGAAAACTCGTTTGCTGTTCTTCTAGACCAACTTTACTTTTACTTTGTCAGCAGAAACTATGCTTCTATTAAAATTTTTTGTACAAGAGCACTATCTTCTGCTAGTTATCTTATACAAAAATACTTTTAACTTGCTTGCCAAATATACAAAAGAGTTCAGGGAGAAAAGAAGAATAAGAAAGCCCTTATCTCTGTAAAAACCATTATTTGTATAGTTGTTTCTTCTACTTTTTCTCTAACAAGTTTCTGTTTTCGTTAGTCGTAAGTTTGGTACAAGTGATCGTCAGGACGAGTTGTATGTGAGCGACTATATTGATATTGTTATTGTTAGTATAAAATATATGATAAATAACTGCTAAATATGCATATTATTGTAAAATAAATATTCATATAATCTTATAACAATAGACAATACTGATACTAATTGCTTAATCTATAGCCAATTCTAATCATAACTTAATTTTCCTTATTTGATTTACAAACTACTTTATATTGTTTGCAACTTCTAATATTGTGACCTTTTTTCTTGCAATGACTACAGGTTTTAAGAGTTATAATATTTTAAGGATCTACCAATAATTTAGTATGTTTATTAAAACTAGATTCAATTGAAGATTTTAGTTGTTTGGGTGGATGCTCTTTTGGCCTATAATATTCCAGATTTGAGACCTCAGGCAAATAAGAATTAATTTCAACTTCTTTTAAAGAAAGCTCATGATTATGATTTTTATATCCATACAACTCATTATTGTAATTTCTATAGTTATATAATTGTTTTTGATCATGATACTATTTATTATCATGTTGTTGTTTATAATCATGATGTTGTTCACAATTTTGATTTTCATGATCTTGCCATTGTTTATAATTATAAGATTTATAGTTGTGTTTATTGTAGTTGATTGAGAATAATAATGATAGTCCAAGCCTGTACTATTTCAGTATTTTATTAACCATTATACCATTATACCAATCAAATCTGAAACAGCTTCTTCATTAATTGTGGTTTGAATACAAGTTTTTGCAATCGATATAGCATTTCCAAATTGCATTTTTTAAGAAATATAGTCTTGAATCGCAGGTATATATACAAATTTTGCTCGAATACTATCAAAGTAAAGTAATGTTTTTTTGATCAAATTAATCATATCATTGCAAATTGTAATATAATCAGTTGATTTGATTTAAGCATTATTATTATACCATCGTGGATATATCATGAATATATGAAAAACAGAATTATTTGAGTAAATAAAAACTCAATATTGATTATAGCAAATCATTTCTTGATTAAGCAGATACATGCAAGTACAAAGAATAGTATAGTCATGAAGTATAACAACATAATGAAAGCTGGAAGTATTTTTAAAATCGGATACAATATAAATAACTTTCCATAATTCACAAATATATTCAGATAAAATACTATTTAGGAGTTGATTAATTTGAATTTGAGATACTTCATAATCATACTTAATAAAATCATCACAGTTATATTCAATATTATGAATCTATAATAAAGATATAATTTTATTCAATGATAAGTAAATTAAAGTTACAACTTAATTAATTTTTGCATTTAACAAATATATAATTTTATTTAAAAGTATACTTTAATTAATTCTTACTTCATTTGAATCAACTAAAATAACAACATATAACAAAGATTGTTTCATTTGTGCATGTTGAAGAAAAAGAGGAATTAGAAAAAGTAATATTTGCAAAACTTAATCAACAGACTTAAAAATTGTATTATAAGTTGATAACAAACCTACAGAAGGATTTAATCTATAATAGTCTCTAATCCTAGTATATAAAGCTTCCTTTTCTAACTCTTTTTGTATAACATTTACCAGTTCTGTAAGTAAAGTTTCTTGATTGAGATGCTTTTTGAGAATATTGTTTAAACATTCTACTTACTGGGTTGATTTAATACCAGCTGTAAAAACTTTCATAATAGTATACTTTGCCTACATATCACGAGTTAGAAAAAGTTTTTTTCTAAATAGGATCGACAAGATAGATATTTAGTTAGAGACGTGACAAAAATCAGGTAATTTTTTAGAGGGTAAAAAAGTTAAAATGATATATAAAAACCTGATTTTTTGTATAT